AAAAGAAAAAAAAAAAAAAAAAAAAGGGTGGCTTTGTTTTCAGTCTTTCCCTGTGTCAAGACACATACCTCTCTTGGAAATAAAGTGAAGTCAAGTCACAGACTGTTCCAGGTCCACACGTGAAGAACTCCTTAAGCAATGCTTTCTGAGCTGCCAGTGCCTCCTGTGGAGAGGGAGAAAACCCAGCTTTGGATAATGTGATTAGACACCTCTCCCCAGCGACAAACCCAGCAAGCTCAGGTCAGCCAGACACCTGATGTGCCTCTTGCCAGGGGTTCCCATCCTCCACGTACCCACCTGGCCCAGCTCCTGGGGGTGGAAGGTGACGATGGCCATGGTGTGGCCACGGCTGGTGGTACGCACCACGAGCTCCCGCCAGTGTCCCCCTTCGTGGAAGAGGAGGCAGGGGTCCAGGGGGGAGCGACGGATGAACTCCTCGTAGCACTGAGCAGAGGGGAAACAGCACTTGTAGGACAGCAGAGACAACTGCCCTGCTCTGAGCATAACTCTGTACACCCCAAAACGGGTGGCCCTTCCAGCAGTATCATCTGTTGTTTTGGTTTTTTTCTTTTTGATTTCAATACACGGAGTGAAAGCTCTTTCCAAGGTCTTGGAAGACAAGACATTTTAAGAATTTCGGTTTGTGGTTCTTAGGTGTCTTAATAGATTGGCAGGAATGCACTGTCACTTGATTAACTTCACTCTTTGGGATAGTTTTGGGGCTGCAACATTAACACAGAAGTTTAAAAAAAAACATTTATCCATCAACCAGGAATGCACTGTCACTTGATTAACTTCACTCTTTGGGACAGTTTTGGGGCTGCAACATTAAGACAGAAGTTTTTAAAAAAAAACATTTATCCATCAACCAGAGCCAGGCCTGAAACTTCAGAACATGAAAACGGACTTGAAAATCCAGCATAACTAAAATTACAGTGTTCTCTCAAATAAGTTATGGCAGTCCCTCTGTTCCACAGCCTAGGGAACAGATGTGACTTATTTATTTACCTGGGCTACTTGTTTGTGTTTTGAGGGTATGTTCTCCACGTGGTTGGCTCTCACACAGACAATATTTCTTTCTGGAGAGAGAGGCAGAGAGGTATTTCATTATTTTGTTTCAGGGCATGTCAACCACTGTAGCATCTGACACGATAAACTGTGGAGACACCTTTCTCCTGAATTCTCCCATTGTACAAAAAAAAAAAAGGAGAAAAACCCCAAAGAACTGGTATGTAAGTGCCCCACTAAATCCTGTGATGTTCTGGGTACCCACAGGCTGCAGGACCTGCCAGAATTCCCTTTGCCAGTGATTACTGTCACTGATTTCCATGAAGAGTTTGGAGCTCTGGGAGCTTTTTAAATGTCCAGAGGAACCACTGCACTGCTCTTAACCTAAGGGAGCCAGAGCAGAGCAAGCCAGTTTGCTAACTGGAGAATAATGGTGTGGGCTTACAGCAGCAAAGCATTTTAGGTTGCCTGGAAGAATGCCTTCTCACTTCAGTTTAAATGCTAAACTTTTGCTGCCAGAGGTAAAATGCATTCGTGAGATTATTTTTTCAATGAGAAAAGAACACAGCACCCACCCCAGCACCTTCTTGCGATGGATGTTGAGAAGCAAAACCCAGTATTGATGGTGTGAACGAGTTCACCACTGAGCTGCTTGCCAGGAGCACCCAGCTCACATCTTCAGTGCACAAAACCAAACTGCTTCACACATCCCAAACGCTCCAACGTTGCTCTGCTGCCTATGGACATGCACACCCCCCATTCCATGCCCTCCCCACACAGCACAGGCTCCTGGAGCACGCCAAAATCACAGGAACAGCATAATTAAGAATAAGAAAGCTAAATCATTTTTTCAGTCGTGCCCAGTGACAGGACAAGAGGAAACAGAAACAAACTGGAATATAAGAAGTTCCATCTAAACATGAGGAGGAACCTCTTCACTTTGAGGGTGGCAGGGCCCTGGAACAGGCTGCCCAGAGAGGTGGTGGAGTCTCCATCTCTGGAGACATTCAGAACCCACCGGGACACGCTCCTGTGCAACCTGGTCTAAGAGGACCTGCTTTGGCAGGGGGTTGGACTAGATGATCTCCAGAGGTCCCTTCCAACCCTGTATCATTCTGTGATTCTGTAAATCCTGGAGGGGCTGCCACCACAGCTGTCATCCTTACTGCTGTGTTTAGCAAATTAGAAGCTGGTATTTTCTTGAGAAGCTAATAAACTGAGGTTTTAAAATTGCTGCCCCAGAGCTGGTGGTGTTTCTGTTGGCATCCTGCAGAATTCAGGCTTCTAACTTGGGTGGAGACTGGCAGAGCAGAGCCTTGCCCCAACCCATCCCACACCAGTAGCTTTCTGCCCTGCTCCAGAACTGACCTCTGCCAGTTCCCACATACAACCCCACGGTTTTGGGGTTCCCATCTGGTCCTTGGTTCACAGAGAACGTAGATTTGTTTCGGTAGCCATTAATGACGGGCTGAGGGAGAAAAGAAGGAAAAGTAAAGCCTTGGATTAAAAGAAAAAGTACTGGAGGAAAGCCCAAAACACAGCCTGCTTGTTCCGTTGGCAGCACAGGAAGATACACATGAATGTGCAAAACGCAGAAACAGAGTTTGTGCACAAGACCCCCAATACTTCCCCTCGGGAAGAAGAAATGGCTCTCTGCGACAGAATGGTGACAGGTTTATCAGGGAAGGCTTGTTTTGTTCTCAGCAGTCACAGGCTGCAAAGCAGAAGCCAGCAAGGACTGCCACAGACACCTTCCCTGCAACCAAGCAATCCCCACCATAAGGCTCTTCAGGAGTCAAGTGAGAGACTGTTAGCAGCTCAGAGGGGACAATATTCCTGTGGGATACTCACTGAAGGGACTACAGGCTGGAGAGGACAGCAGAGTCCACCAGGTTTCTGCCCATCTACGCCCAGCTCCTCAAGACGAGACGCCAGTGTCTGCAAAACCTTCCTCTGGCTTTCATGCTTCACCTGCAGAGGAGTCCTAAGCCAGAAACACTCTCAAAGGACCACCCTGGGGCAGGGTGAGCAAGAACAAAACACCTAAAAAACGGTGGGCAGCTCTTCATCACCCACCTCTGGGAAGGCCAACAGGCGGGAATACCGCAAGGGGGATAGAGCCCTAGAGGAACTTTGCCTTTCTCATCACCATAGCTGCTTGGAGCAACGGGGAGAGAAAGAAATCCTGTGTCCACGGTCCCCAAGTGCTGGCCTGGAGCACTTGGTCCAACCTGAAGCCCCAGTGAATCTGCTGTCCCACACTGGACAGGATCGCTGTGCTGTTGGTGATCACACACACCACCCACAGGGAACCTCCCAGTTCTATCCTTCATAATAACTGAAGAAGTAAAGCAGCAGTAAACGGGGTCTGAAGAGTTTACAGCATTAAGCGACTAAGATGCTAGGGGCTGTTGCTCCAGGGAGACAGGAGGGACAGTTGGGACAGCACAACGGAGAAAAGTCCACGTAAGCACATCTTACCTGCAGCTGCTCTTGGTAGGGAAGTCTCCACAGCGGAGTCACCGCGTTTGCTAGCCTGGAAAGCACAACATCACGGTAGTGCCCAGAGCTACTCACCTCCTGATACTTAGGGCATAACATCCCCACCACCTGCTTCATGGGCAGGACCCTTCTGGTACGGGCTCTGCCCCAGAGCTGGCTGTGAACATCCAAACTCCCTATTCATGGCACCTTCCTGGTGCAGAACACTCGTGGCTGGAAGAGGGACCCAGAAAGACCACAACAACCAGTTCTCCAGAGGACAGGCTGAGCCTTTGGCAGAAGTCTGACCAGGGAGACCTGGGTGTTCTGGGTTACCCAGGTATCTTTCTGATCCCCCTTGAGAGGACAGGGTGAGGAACATGGACCCAGAAAGACCCTTGGTGAGATCTGACTCCAGGCTGGTAAAGCCAGGGGAATGAGTATTCAAATGTTACTGGGGTCAGAGGGAAAAAAATAACAACAAAGTGCAGGCGAAGGGAAACAAAGGGAAAAAAAGAAATCATTCTGTAGCTTCAGATGGACTCTGTTGCTTTCTCCCAGTGAATCAGAGGCTTTGGCCATCCCTTGCTGCTCCGAGGACAGCCCGAGTCCCATCTCCCTGGAGCTTTCCCCTAAAAGGGCACGATGCTTCTCTCATCCCTCGAAGCATCCATCCTGCATCATCTGCCTGCTCACATTTCCAGCCACGCACGACTGTGTCCTTTTTGCCAATGCTGTACTAGATTTAATCCACCCCAGGGAAATGGACAGTTTGTGTGGAGCTGGCAGGGAATCACCAGCTGCCCACTCTCACTGACCAGTTCAGAGATAAACCTCAGAACTTGCCACTACTTGTATCTGGGCCAGGGCAAACAAGAACAAAACACCTAAAAGTTGATTTTTTTGGAAAAAAGAAAAAAAAAGAGTAGAGGGTGAGGTGGATACAATCTAAACTGCCGTAGCTATCCACCAACTACTGACTCACTGAGCCCATGGAAAACCTCACCCCACAGCTGGAGGAGCTGCTGCTACGGCTTACTGGGATTTTTGGAGCTGCTTCCAAAGCACCCAGTGCCAACTACTTTCAGACACGGACCTGCAAATCAAACTGGCTATTACTTTTTACTTGCCAGTACAGCAACTGCTCTGCTCCTTCCCTCTTAGACCTTTTCCTTCACCTTTTTCCATTATTCCTATCCCCAGGCAAGCCAGCTGAGCCCTGGCTCTTCTACTGGGGAGAGCTGGGTGGAGGTGAAACCCCCAACCCACTGCTCAAACAGCTTCGGGTGTTTGGTGCTTTGGAAGAGCGCTTGGTTGTTTTGAAGGAACCGTACCTCTCCTCCCAGGAGGAACCTGGCAGGCTGATGTCCTCCCTGGCCTTTTTCTTCTCCCTCTGCTTTACCGCTGTCGTCTTCTCCTTCACCAGGCTGTGGTCCCCACCAGGCAGGCTGCTCAGGAGAGCGCTCGAAGGGCGAAGGTGCCGGGGCAGTAACTTCAATGTGCAGGACAGAGCCATGGTGCTCTGAGGAAAAAGACCTGGGAGACCTGGTGGACAACAGGATGACCATGAGCCAGCAACGTGGCCAAGAAGGCCAATGGCATCCTGGGGTGCATCAGGAAGAGTGTGGCCAGCAGGCTGTGGGAGGTCATCCTCCCCCTCTGCTCTGCCCTGGGGAGGCCCTGTCTGGAGCACTGGGACCAGTTCTGGGCTCCCCAGTTCAAGGACAGGGAACTGCTGGAGAGAGGACAGCAAAGGGCCACAAAGATGATGAGGGGCCTGGAGCATTTCTCTTACGAGGAGAGGCTGAGGGACTTGGGTCTTTTTAGTCTTGAGAAGACTTAGGGGGTATCTAATCAATGCATACAAATACTTAAAGGGTGTCAGGAGGACAGGGCTGGTCTTTTTTCAGCTATGCCCAGTGACAGGACAAGAGGAAATGGGCACAAACTTGGGTAATAAGAAGTTCCACCTAAATGTGAGGAGGAACTTCTCTCCTTTGAGGGTGGTAGAGCCCTTGAACAGGCTGCCCAGGGAGGTGGTGGAGTCTCCTTCTCTGGAGACATTCAAACCCCCCTGGACACGTTCCTGTGCAATCTGCTCTGGGTGGCCCTGCTTTGGTGGGGGGGTTGGACTAGAAGATCTCCAGAGGTCCCTTCCAACCCCACGTCATTCTGTGATTCTGTGGTGGGAAGGAGAGGGACAAGCAGCACAGCGACCCACCATCAGCCCCCACGTCGGTGGCCAGATCGCTCCAGAAAATAAACCATTTGGTTTCTAAACACACCCGGGGCCGTGCATCTGACCCGGGGGAGCGTCTGGGCTTTGCTGGGAGCTGCCCCGACCCCGGGAAGGGGCGACCGGGAGCGGCGGTCCCCTCCTGGGCCACGGGCGAGCGGCCACGCTACCGGCCACGCTTGCCCGGGGTCTGCCCGTTGCTTCCACCGACCCCGCCGCTACCGGTCGCTCGGCTCCCACATGGCGGGGAGCGGCCTTTCCGCCGCCGCGCACGGTGTTTACGGCGGAATCCCCCCCGCCGCGAGGCGGCCGAGCCCCCGTCGCGACCGGCTCCCCCCGCCCCACGCGTGTCTCCGCTCGGTGGCTTCCCCCCCCGCGACCTTGTGGCCCCCGTACCTTGGCTCGCCTCCCGCTGCAGCGGGGCCCCGGTGGCCGGGCAGCTCCCGGGAGCGCCGCCCCTCCGGGAACGCCGAGGCGGAGCCCGGTAGCGCGGCGGGGAGCCGGCCCCGTCGGAACCGGGGAGGGATCGGCCGGTGTCACGGCTCCGAGCGGCCCCTGCGGGCCACCGAAAGCCAGAG